ACAACTTGGGAAGAGTAGTTTATGCCAATATCAATAATAACAAAACCTTGCTATTTGCTCCATCTCTGCTCTGGACAGACTGGAGATTCCCTGCTTTGGTACCTGACGGTTACCCAGGTACTTAGAACAATACATTTTAACTACTAAGATGGCTGATAGCAAATAGCAAAGCATACCACTCTTTTAACAAGCATTTTCATATTTCTGTTAGCATAGCTTGCATCACTTTGATGCAGAATATATGGCACGTGGAGCCTAAAAGATTGTGAGGGCTGTTGAGGCACACAATAGACAACAGAAAAGAGGTACTTTTCCCAATACAACAGCTTTTCTCTTTTCTAAATGAGAAGTACCTTTCAAGCTAACTATACAGTAGTTTCAAAAACTGTCAGTTCTTGATCAGTAAGCTGGATGGTCTGGGTAAAATTCAGACTGAATGATACCACAAAGTTTTAAATAATGGGAAAAGCTGATGAAAGGCCTAAAGGACATAAAACATAATTAGTGCCAGTCAGTACAGTTTTATGGAATGTAGGTATTATCAGTAAAACTCAATTTAAGGTATTAGGACTCATAAGGCATTTGACTTCGTGTCACATAGCTTTCTGTTTAAAAAACAAACAAACAAACAAAACCATACTAAGAACAGCTCTGAAGGACTGTATCCTATAAAGTACTGAGAAACTGTAATAGGAATAAGGAATGGACTTATTTTTTATTGCCTGAAGTGGTTTGCTGACAAAAAAAACTGCAAACGTAAAATGGCTGTTTATGGAGGCAGAGCTGCACAGAAGAGGAATAAAGAAACAAAATCACCTCTGGCAGAAAGAAGCACTGGAGGATCATATACATATATTTTGCTACATGTTAAAGGGTATGTTGGAGTGGTGGACAGGTTTTAAAAAAGACCATATGGATTATTCACCACTGTAAAAATGCCTTATATGAAAGGACAGGCTTACAACAGCTCAAGCTGTTCAGTTTATCAAATAAATAACAGACTGCTTGATTACAGTACGCAATGACCTTGTGGGGAAAAAAGCATAAAAGGTCAGACAAATTGGACCAGGAATTAGGCCATGCATATACAACAGAAAGGCACAGCTAATTACCAAGGACCAATACTCTCCATTTGTGAGGAATTCCCAGTCAAAATTACATTCCTTACAGGGAACATGCTTTGCTTAGAGAAGTTACCTGGTCCAGCAGAGCAGCAAGTCGATGAACCTGAATGGCCTGCTGCAGTCAGAGACTCCAGATCATCATTTGGCCTTAAACATCATGATCAGGCCTTGCTAGCTCCTGAACTCAGGGAAACCCTGTCCCTGCAAACACAGGTGTTCCAGTGCTATCTCCAGCAGGTATCAGCACCTCTGTCACAGGATATTAACTGTTCCCTTCAAAATACCTACAAAATAATTTGAAAGCATTCTTGGAGAAGTTTAAAAAAAACGATATTCTACTGTTTGAGCATATTTTATGTCCTGAACAAGCTGTGGGGAGTGAGATTTTACAATCACATTTTAAAATCCAGGGCCTTTTTAACATTAGCCATTGCCTCATGGTTTCACTGGGATAAACCCCTGCTCTGAGGCACAAGGGCAACTGGTGTACTTGAACAAAGGCCCGAGCAGGGGAAAATGCTGCTCTAAAACCTGTGAGGTGATTACTTTGTAGAGAAAACCTGAGTGGCCGTGTCACAGCCCGTTGCTCTGTAGACCACATTCTTAGTCATAAAGACAAGCCCTGTGGCAGGGACCCTTACCTAGAGCTCCAGGCATCCCTGACCCCTTCTGAAAGCACTTGTTTCTGTCTTTTTGACAGGCTGGAAGATCTGCGCTTTGCTTGATGAGAAACCGTGCAAGGAGAAATAATATTTGTTTTGTAATTTTCAATAAAAAGAGAAGTTATTTGCGAACTTTTAACCTGCATAGGAGAAGCTTCTGCTCAAATCATTAAGTGTCCCGGAAAATACCAAGAACAAGGCAGTAGGGAAGGAGATCCCCTGGCAAGGTCCTTCTTTGTGATTTCACTGAGAGGAAGCTTGCTGCACTCACAAGATCAGCTTCTGCTAAAATGAGCACTACAAGTTCTATCTATTCACTGAGTGTTTCTGTTGAAAAAAATTGGCCTTGTTGAAATCACAGGCCAACTTCTATTGACTTAAAGGAGTTAACAGAGACCCTGAGAGGGCAGACAAGCCATGTAGACATTAAGATCTGTATCTGTATCACAAATACTGGTGAAACCAACAGCAGAGAGAATACTGGGAATGCGTGGGGGAATTTCCAGGAAAGACTATACAAATACCAAAGCAGTGTTGTGCAAGATTACTCCTGTTACTCTCCCACTTATCTTTCCTCTTTTTATTCCTTCTCAGGGACTACAGGAGGGGGAAAAACCGCACAGGAACTGCTAAACCTCTTCTCCAAGTAGGTCTGGTCCAAGACCACCCCAGGGAAGGTGTAAAAAAGCAAGACATGCCTTCTGAGTCTCACCAGTGATAAAGCTACCCCAGTAGGTCTCCAGCAGTGAGACACTATTCCAGGAGATCATGCAAGCCTGCAACTTTCTGCAGTATTCCCTGAGGATTGCTCAACATCCATGGTCATTGGATTAGGGATGCCGTGCAGTACATTTGAGCCTACTCCCTTTAGTATTTGTTTGTGGACCTTTATCCCATTGTTTTTCATTCCCCTTTTGAGCCAATTGACACTGTTATCCTCCACAGCCTTCCGCAGCAGCTTTCAGTAGCTCACTCTTCACTGTGTAAATAAGTGTTTTCTATTATTTTTGTTAAACTGCTCTCTCCTTAGTTCACATGTGCTGCAGTTCTGACATAGCGTGATTTAGCAAACAGCAGTTCTGCATCTGTTGTTTGCTATCAACTCCCTTCTCAATTTGGAAAACATCAGTCACATGCCCTCCTCCTTCAGAATACTCTCTCCAAACTGGAAAGTCCCAGGCATTTTCATTTTTCCTGTTTTCCAGTCTTTCTTCTCTGTATCTTTTCTATCATTCTTGCAATACAGATAATCAGACCTATACCCAGTAGGCAAGATGTGTGTGCATCAAACTTTCCAACAGTGAAAAAAATCATGCTTTCTGGTTTGTTCACAAGACAATACTGAGACAGACCTGACATTATTCTGAGTAAATCTGCCTGGCACCACCTCCAAGAAATTTATGTCACGGGCCTGTCAAAGCTCTCCTCCTCCTCTGTCTTCAGTCTTTTCTTCACCCTCCTACTGCCTGCTCACATTCCTCCAAGCCAAGTCCACACTGCTCTCCCATTTTTCTGCTACACCTCTGCTTTCCAAGTCTCCCTTTCCAACTGCAGATAAGCACAGGACCCTGCATGCATTGAGGTACAGTGCACAAGACACTGCTGAACATGCTATGCACAAGATAAGGGAGATCTGCACCACTGCCTCATCCCACAGATAGCTACTGAGAGACAAGTTACCAAGAGACACGTTGCTGTTGGGGATCGCTGTTAACAAGTGTGTAATATAAAGAAACTCTTTTCACTTATCTCTGATTTACCTTGTGCTTAACTTTGCATGTGCAAATTTGGGGCAGCCATGCCCACCTTCTTGTACCTAAGAGTGGGCTCAGGCCTGCTGAGACTAGATGCACTTCAAAATCTCAGCCACAGTGCCTGCATCTCCCACAACCTTGCCTTCAGTGCTGAACATCACCAAGTAGATGAGTCAGAGCAGCACTGCTAACCTGGAGAAGGGCTGTTAGGGAGAACACTATCAAACCCCACCTCATATCCTTCCCCCTCATCTGTGCCTCTGCACAGAAAGGACACTATTTGCACGGCCAGCTTGCCAACGCTGGAGAGAGCGTGCAGTGAAAAAAAGTCCTAACCGGGGTGAAGACTACAGGTACCAGTTGTCTATTAAAAGCAAAGTTATCAGGCAAATGGTTTAGTTTTCCACAGTAAGCAGCTTGGGAAGGTCATTTATTCAGGAAACAATCCAAACACTATTGCTGAGGCTGCACAGATTTGCCTCTCCCCCTTGCCTAAGCCCTTAGGTTGCTGCCTGCCTGGCTTGTGCCTTTACAGACAGGGCTTCCCACGACACTCAAATCCGCTGTTGCTAAGGATAATAGTTTTCACTGGTTCCTTCTATAGGAACATGTATTCTGACATAATCTTCAGCAAGAATCACTAGGGATATTTAGCCAGAGACTTACTGATACTTTTGTTTTGCAGTGGAAATCTATACAGCATATTTATCAGCAGCTTATACTTTAAATTAAAGGTCTGATTTGGCTCATATTGAATTAACAGAATCCTTATATTGATCTGAGAGGGATTAAATCCTACAAAAATACCTCAGCTGTCCTAAAACTCACGAGACTATAATCCCTGACACATTCTGAATATTTGAAATAATTTTTTTCACAAATGAGCCTTAAGTTCTTAAATTAGTTTAAATCAACTAGAAATGCATAGCCCAGTGATTGTGCAACTTCATTGGAGGTACAGAGTTTATGACAATATGAGTGAAAAGAGAACATTTTCCAAACATAACCACAAGCAGACAAATTATATTAAAACCTTTACTCTGCAGAGTAATACAAAATAAAACACTATCATCCGATCAACGAAGTAATGCTGATTTCTATCTTTGAAGTAACCACATTTCTCTGTACAGTTGCAGAAACACTGCAATTTTACAAACTGATATTCAGTTGAACATATTTATAACACAAATTATACACTATGTACAAACCTAGTTCTCCAAGGAACTCTGCTTAGCATGCTTCAACACAGAAGTGGTTTACCAGTGTCTAGGACAGGATTCTAGCTTTCCCTTTAATTTAAATACTGAAATACTTATCAAAACATGAAATAAAAAAATTCATATCCTATCACATGGCCTGGCCTGAAGTCACTTGTTTGTTACCATATGTTATAGAAGAGTAGAATCAGTCACAACAATAAATAACATGGCTTATATGAACTTAGACTTAGATTTGTGTGATCACACTTTGAGCCTGAGTGCTTTTACAAAACTGTAGGATCCATTTATCTTTGCTTTTCTTGACACGTAGATCAAAATTGCAACCACAGGTACTGCTACTGCTGCTACACCAGAGAATGCAACAATCAGTGGTACCATTTGATCAGGTTTTTCCAGTCTTCCTGAAAACGGAGACAAAAAGCAAAAAAAGTTGTGTAAAAATGCATTGAACCACACACGTGTATTACTGTAAAAGCACTGTCATTAATGACCTTCAATCTTTGTTTTCATGAACGATGCACATTTCAACATGTTTTCATTATGCTTTTTCTTTAGTAACTCCATATTACATACTTTAATTCCTAGCCACTATCTTGGTCTTGAATTTCCTATCCAAGTTCAAACTCAACTGGTATCACCTACAATGAAGAATGCCATAGAGCTCACAAAGAAGACAAGAGGAATGTAATGTATCTTACCCACTGAACATCTGGGGACATTTCTACCTCTTGGAAACAATGCTTCAGGAGAAGACCATGTTTTAAATGCCCAGTCGTTAGATAATTTTGTGAAACAGAACTTTCTCTGGATTAGTCTTGACTGTTCATGCATTTGGACAGAAATATGATCGGGATCCACCTTTTTTTGGCCCTATCCTTAAAGCTACTGCACCAACTTAAATAGGAGACAACATCCACTGAAAGGAGGTTAAATACAGCTTAATCTCATCAGCTTTTATATTATTTGGCTTGATTTTAGGGCTTTTTTTTTTCAGTTTAAAATAATTGTTGCACAAGGATCAGCCATGAACTAGTTGTGCTCATCTTGGCACAAAATTAATTAGAAAATATGAACAACATAAGTGCAAGGCAATAGTTCTATCTACCTACAACAACTATCTCAATCACTTTGATGTTGTTTCCAACCTCATTGAAAACATGAAGCAAGTATCTGCCTGTATAATTTTTTTCTGACATTGTGGAATATAAAGGTTCCATTCACTGATGGCAGAATCTTTCTCCTGATGGACTTTTTTCAGGACCATTTGTGATGGTGGGTTACTGTATGTGCTACATGTAATAATGACATTTTCTCCTTCTTTTACATTTTCTGATGGATATACTAACACACTAATATTTTTGGGAGGAACTGAAAAGAAATTAAAGGAAGCATTTAGCAACAAAGAGAAGGAAAGAACTCATGAGTTACCAGCAGCTCATACACAAAGTACTAATCCAATTCACCCTACTATTTGAGCACACAGCTTTAGATACTACTCTGTCACTAGCTGTCCTTCACACCTGCAGCCAACAGCAGCTGACAGAAATAGCATTTTATCAGTTGATGGAGTATGTTGCATATCTTTTACATTACATGGAGTCTTTTCTTCTTTTTCTATTTCAAGTTCACTGTCTATTAATTTAAGTTGAAGAAAGAACACAGACCAACAGACTCAGAGGTTGATGCCCTGTTACAACAGAAGAGAAATAAAGGCAAAGGAAGCCTAGAACAGCATTTTTTTCACTAGGTTCCACAATTTTACATCCTGTTTTCAAAGGTGGAAGTAGAATGATGAAAAAATTGAAGCAGCAATTATTTTGTGTATCTGTTGTTTTGGACAGAAGTTTTCATTCATTCCTATCATTTATGACAAGAAATTGAGCAACTCAGTTTTTTTTAAAGACAACACATTCTTCATGGAATTTAAGTGAAGATGTCACTCTGTCTGTCTAAAAATACCCCTAATATTAACTCTGTATAGTACTAATTTTAACTAACCTTTGACATAAAGCACTACATGTTGAGACTGCTCTCCCAGTGCACAACAATATGTTCCTGTGTCCTTTAGCTGAGCCCTGCTTATAGTGTACTTGCCATCTACTATTTCAAGGGCTGTGATCCCATCACTTGTTTTCCTTCACAGAATACTCTGAAGAGATGTAACATGCGCAGATGTGCAAGAGGCAATAACACTTTCTCCCTGGTATCACTGCACTTGAAGGGAAAACTGAAAGTGTATTTATTGGTGCAACTACAGAAATAGTAAAGAATAAGGAAGAGAGATGGATTAGCAGCAGAAGTGATCCCTAAGCAATACACTGTTCCCATGCAATTAGCAGAAGCAGCAGGGCTAATGCTGAGAAGTCTGCTTACTACTGGAACTGCTACCATTGCATATAGACTGAGGAATCAGCATTTGGTAAAGTTTAATGTAGTTTGCAAGAACAGGAATCAGAGTTGTAACTTAAAGGAGAGCCAAAGGGCTGTAGCACAGCCCCTCCACAGAAAAGTTTCAGCATGTACTTTGAATCTTTTACATGCAGGGATTTGGATCCTCCACTGAGACCTGTTTGGAAGAAAATATAGGCACTGCATAGCTTCTTTGCCTCACTGCATACATTTGCAAATTGGAAGGAGTGAGGGAAGCTCAACTGACATGAGAACTTTGCATAAATTATCTGTACTAAGGCAGATTTCATCCTTTCACCCTTCACCCTTGTTTAAAGCTTACTGAATGACTTAATGGCATCAGGACCACCTTTTAACTCCATTGACATGAAAGACAGAATTCCCCTGTCCTTCACAGGATGAAATCTGGACCTGAAATACATAAAACAAAACACTTGTGTTCTGCCTTGTTCTACTAACCTTGAACAAGTAATTGCACAGTTTTTTCTTCTTTGCCAAACTGGTTATAAGCTTCACATTCATAAAGCCCCAGATCTGTACTTTTTATGTTCTGTACAGTTAAAGTTGCATCTTTAAAAACTTTCTCAGACTCTCCGGTGGCCTTCTTTTTCTTCCAAGAGATCACTGGAGCTGGATTACCAGAACTAGTACATTTCATTGTCACAGTTTCTCCTTCTTTAACAGCAGTAGCAGGGATAACCGAGATCGCTGTGTTCTTCGGACCGTCTGAAAGGAAGAATCCTGTAGTTAATCATCACTGGATTTTTTAGAGATGGATCCAACATGTCCTACTGGATGCCAGGTTGTTGGCCTTCCAACATTAATTTCTTTTTCATTCTCAGAGTAAGTAAAGCACACAGTATCACAGCTTCCATACAAACTCTCTACAGCATAAATGTACTAAGCACATACTCTAAGAATGTTAAGAAGGTAGATAAGTTTCTCTCTCGTTCAGATCCTGTCTTAGGACTGTCACTGCATTAAAGAATTCATGGCTTTGTTTTACTCATCAGCACTGCTCCTTGCTTTGGGACAGAGGAGAGGCCAATGCTGATTTTTTTGTACTCACAGGGTTTTGTTTAGTTTGATGCTTACATTTGTCACTGAATTAAGTGGAGAATGAACTAATTATTTTTAAATTATCAAGAAAACATTGCACATACTTACACAGCACATTAAGTGTTATTTCATTTTTACTTTCCCCAAACTTATTTTCTGCTACACATTCATAGTTTCCTCCATCTAGGAATGCCACAAATGGAAGAAGAATTCTCCCCTCACTGTAAGGCCCCATTTCTGCACTGTCAGATTTTTTCCTTAAAATAATCTTGGGAGAAGGGTTACTCTCAGCAGAACATTGTATAGAAACATTTTCTCCTTCTTGAACTGTTGTAGAAGGTACAATGGAGAGTTCTGCAATGTTTGGAGCACCTGCATGACAAAAGAAAATGATGTTATACTAATGAACTAAAGATGAAGCAGAAATTGCTCACCCAAGGATCTGTTCATTTTTGTTTTGTGAAATCCCTGTGAAATTGCTATGTACATTAGTATTTCAAGAAAATAACAGTGTCCCCCACACCACCACATTCTCAGATTCTTTTATCACTTTGAGCGTTGCATTGCAGGAACTGCATAGAGGTACACATGTACAACTGCAGTACAGAGAGAATTAGCTGAAAATCAAGCATACTAATGAAAAGCACAACCCATGAAGAACAATAGTAAATTGAAAGCTAAATCCTGAATATGTAACAAAGAAGACCCCATAATTTCCTAATTTTCAGTGTTTCAGCATCCTGCAACCCAACAGGCAGCTGCCAATTGGGTACTGGATAATACAAGGTAAATTCAAGCAGATTTGTACCTTGTATAACAATGTCCACAGTTGCTTTCTCTGTTTTATTAGTTGACAGATTAATTACTTCACAGATGTACAGTCCTGAATCAGTGAAACTGGCATGGGGAATAGAAAGGACATTGTTTTCTATCAGATGCTGAATGCTTTCGTCAGCCAGATGTTTTCTCCAAACTATCTGTGGTGGTGGATTACTCTCAGTCACACAAGTGAGTTTTAGCTGGTCTCCTTCCATTGGTGAGTTGCTTGGGGACGCAGTAATGACAGTATTTTGTGGACCAACTGGAAGATAACACAAGAGACACAAGATCAGTAAATTCATGAAGAATGATATATACATCTCTAACACCAGCTTCTTGAGAGGTATATTTCACACAATATTAATAAAAAATGAATAATGTTTATTCCAGTAAAATAGTGGAACAAGTTTTCCAGACTTGATAAAAGCCTGCAGCTATGAATGCTAAGTTAGACAAAACACGTGCCTTTTTTTCTTTTCATTCTTACATTTGTCTCTGTATTGTTTAGAGCTATAAACTTGAAACTGCTGAACATACAATGGCAATTTTAAAAACAATTACTTATCTGCATGCTGTCACTTGTCTTCTGGTCTTTACTTTGAGCCTAAGCACCAGTGCCAAAGAGAATGAGCAAGGAGCTACTAAAGCACAAATAACTTTTGTTATGAACAAGAGTGGGTATTTAACAACTCAATGACTGTTACTGAATAAAACAGAATCTAACCCAATACAAGAGATTATCTACAAAAAGAATATAGATAAGAAGTGCAGTTCATAAATTATTTATAGCACACACTTTGTAAACCCATTACATGAAACTTAACATTAAACAGTACTTGGTGTGAAAGCCCTAGAATAAAAATACTTACAGTATGCATTCAGTTTCAGAGAAGTAACTCTTTCTTTGGGTTCAAAGTCCGTATTAGCAATTGGTAACTTGGCCACACAAGTAATCTCTTTTCCAATGTCTTCAGCTGTGGGATTGAATGAATATGTCACAGTTTTGGACTCTGTATCTGTGCTGTCATCTTCGTAAAAATTTTTCTCATGAAGAACATTTTCCTCTTTTTTTAGGACTACTTCCAGGAGATTAGAAGGATACACATCAGGAATTTTGCAGATGACCGTGACTGGCTCTCCAGCGACTAAGGATGGGCTGATCTCAATGATAGGATCACTGGGGAAAGCTAAGAGAATAAAATAAATTTCTTTAGTCTAGCAGAGACAAGCTCTAAGGTCAAGATAAGATCAAGGTACAGACATGAAACATCTTGAGTTTAGAGGCATTCACAACATGATGTTGCATCAACTTTATTATGAGATACGTCTTTTTATGAAGACACAGGTCTTTTATAAGCAGCTTGAGCACTAACAGGAATTGTATTTGTAGAATTCTTGAAATATGATCACAAATGATCTAATGGGATATTATCTAAAATCCAGCAAGGCACCTAGGCAGTGATACAGTTGCCTAAATACAGGAATGCAGAGTAATCCATACACTGGCAATAGGTTTAGACATATGAATAATTCCCCTGCAAACTGTAAAGGCATTGATTAGGTGCTTTGCACTTGCACAAATACATCTGTCTTGACCACATTGGTTGCCAGCTCTGCAAATGTTTTGTGGAGACTATGTTTCGGCTTTCAAATATTACCAAGAACAAGAGTTAATATGACCAGTATGTGCTAGTTTCAGTGCAAAATTCTAAACAAAAAGGGGCTGCAGAAGAGCCCCAAAGAGACAGGTAAAGAAATCTTACAAGGAAATATATGTTCATCTATAGCAGACTCCTAGCATTGTCAGTTAACTACCAACCCTTAAAAACAATTATTGATTTTTTAAAAACATGTACTAATGAAAGAGAATTTTATATTTTTACTTACAGTAAAGTTCAACTTTAATACTCTTCTCTTTTTTCTCTTTCTCACCACAGAAGACAGTACAGAGATAATCATGAGAATTCACAGTGCTAACTGGATTCATAGTCAAGGTAGAGTACGTTTTATGGTTGCGCACTGTTCCTCCAAGGGGGTTGTCCATCTGGGTCCTCCAGGAAAATCTCGCTGATGCACAGCCAGTAGTATTGCATGTAAGTATGAGTGTTTCTCCAATCTGTGCAATAATTCTGTTAGCAGGTATTATCTCCATCTCAAAAGCTTTAACTACAACAGGGAACATACATAAACTCAGTAGCATTCTCAACATATATTTTCTCCTTTCTTCTCAAGTCTACTATAACATGAGGTCATTACTTTGCAAGTTTTCTTTAAACTTGTGTGGTGGTTAGACTAATACAGTGGTTTACATCTCCAAAACACCCCATAAACATTGCTGCTTTTGTGAAAGATAGATAATAAAGACTCAGATGACTCTAAAAGACAGTTCTTATGTATAAAATGGCATAAGTCAAATGTTGTTAGTGAAAATATAAGGATTGGCACAATATAACTTCTGTCAGGTAAATCTGGTTCTAAAACATTGCAACATTTGAGAGAGGCTGGCAAGAACAACTGCAGAATCACTTTCAACAGGACATTTAGTACCAAACTTAACTGATGCTGTCAGGGATGACAGTAAAAATCAAACATGCAGTGATACACTGCAGTTGTCTCCTAGACTGTCTTTTAGCAAACTCAAAAAGAAAATGACTGTGCCATTGCAGAGTACAAAAAAGCTCAAAGTAAATGTCAAAAAAACTTCCTGACATTTTGACAGAAATACTTAATTGACAGTTGTATTCACTGAAATTAAAAGGCATCTGGAACGAAGAGACATAAAGATCAAACAATAAACTGCAGGTCAGTTTACATTTAAAAAATTAAAAGCAAATAAAGCAAAAAACACCCCTCACCCCCACAACTTACCAGTCACTAACACATGCAAAATTATTAGCGCAGTTTGGCTTGTTCTTCCCATTTGCTTTAACATTTGTAATTGCTGTCACTAGGTAAAGAAAGTAAAATTCAAAAGCCTTGCTTTCTCTTTTCTGTGAAAAAGCACGGTGAGATCCTGCTGCACTGCACCAGTTCCTCAGGACCGAGCCAGCACGCTCTTTATAGCGGCTCTCCTGAAGGTGGAGTGGGAAATTCCCGGGCCGGGAGACCCAGAGCAGGAAGAAGGGGAAGAGATCCCCGTTGGGCTGTGCCGGAGGCCCGGCGCCCTCTGCTGCTGCTCGGCACAGGGACGGTGTGTGCGGCCCGGGGCAAGCGCCAGGACTGACGCTGCTCCTGCGGCGCCTACCAGGCTTAGAAAGAACAAGTCAAGATCTGATCCTGCAAACAGCTGATAACACGAAATAATGTGGGTAATTCCAAGTAATTGAATGGAACTATATCTCGGATTAAAAAGTTATTCAAGTTTGCTTTCAGTGCAAATATTTTTGTTGGGCTGAGTCTTGAGAACGCTTCTAACAATGTTCAGTTCTGTAAATAACTCAGTACTCCCTTTGAGAACTGGGCTACCCATTTGCGAAATGATGCTACTCCCTTTCCTAAGTACTTTTGGTCTCTAATAATGAATAAGCCAGATAACTGAAGTCTGGAAATCCCACTTGATCAGCTTGAATCAGGCTGTTGGGAAAACATACATGAACTAATTATTTTCCCAATTCCACTTAAAAAATTACTCTAAAATGTCCCTCTTTCAAGATGCTACTGGTCTGTATTTCGTTACTGGTATGCCTCTCAGATCTCTTCTGTCCTGTTTATGAATAACTGAAGGTTTTAATTTATGAATAATATCAGCTGATAATACAACTCTGGGATAACTTTCAGTGTTTGGTTTCCAATGGGTATACAAATCCAGTTTGAATTTTCATAACTGTCAGGAAATGAAAGCAAAGTACTGTTCTGGAAGTACTGTTAACAAATCCAGAAACCCCAAATCTATCCAGAGCAGATAACAACATCTACAGAAATACTATTTTACTGCAAAGAAAAGGGTTTTCTTGAAGAGGAGTATACGCTCAGTTAAGTTGCAAGAAAGTACTTTTTTATCACAGGCAGAGAGACACAAGAAATGAAACTCTTTTGCTTTGACTGCTTAAATAATTATGAGCTGAGCTGAAGGAGAAAACACAGAATTTCCCTATTTCTGGGAAGTGAGTTTCTAGACACAAAATAATATAAACATAGGAGGTCATATCCTCATGCTGGAAAAATTGTAATCAAATCCTTCATCAGATAACATGAAATAGGAAATAACTCTGATTCAGCTCTCAGTAAATTAAACTGGATAGCTGCCATTAACTTTACTGGAGTTGGATCCCTACCAGAGGGACTACTCTACTAACTGATCAGACAAATTCAACTCAGATAGTACAGGTAAGAGCAGGGTTAGCCAAGAAATATTATTAAAGGAAGCACAAATCTGCAAAGAAATAAAAAAAAAAATCTTAAAACTTGCTCTTTATCCAACTTGAAATGTGAGTCTTCCTTGTATTTTGAAAAGAAAATGTACTTTACAGTTGCTCATACTATCCTCAGCATCAATTTGCAAATAGGAAAATAGGTATAAAGCGTGCTTATTTTCAGAACTGGCTGTTCTGAAAACAAACAGAGGTCACTTAAAAACTTTTAGCAGTTGACTTCAAGAGTTCAGATAATCTAGCTTTTTATTCTGATGGCACAGAGGAAGACGCTGGGGAGAAAAACAGAGGATGCATCCAGATTCACAGAGAGATCAAGTATTATAGGAACAGCTGGAAGAAATTCTGACACAAGCAGAGCACAATAATGACTAGAATGTAACAAGCATTACAAAGATATTGCTAAAGGCAAACAGGTTAAAACAATTAAGCATTGGGTGTAAATATATGCTTTCTGATACATCTGCTAATCAAAAGAGACTTTTATCAGGCTTTGAGGCACAAACAAAAATAAAAACTTTGTGTGTCTCAGAAGGGAGTCTGGAAATACTGAACACATCATTTTTGGCCTGGTACCAGAAAACACAAATTTATTTCAGGAAACTGAAACTTACTTCAGACTTTTCTGAAATGTAAGAAAACCATTTCAGAACTGTGCTAAGCATTTGCTTTAATTTCTACAACCCTGCTTAATACCTATATTATGAAATTAATTTTTTTTCTTCTAGTCAAAACAAATCACAAGTTCTTGATACCTTAATGAATTATTTGAACAAAATGCAAGTCAGGCAACTAGTTAACAATCTAACATTTCTAAACCTTTTCCTGCACTTTTAATGTACTGCATTGTCTCATGGAGGCTGTTAGAGGAAAGCTGAAAGGCTAAACTTTATGCAGAATTCATTCTCTTATAACCTCCACTGGTTTTGTAATTTATGGCCAAGAGTCTACAAAATGGGCTAATCCTTCTTTCGGCAGAGGAGATTTTGACAAAAAAAAAGGTAGAAGGAAATTAATCTAATTCAACATACTGCAATATCTGCATCTACAGCCATCATTTGGGATTCCTGCTAAAAATGCCCAGTGCTGGAATAATAACTGCTATACAGGGCCCCAACACAGAAACATATGCAACCTGTTACTAGCATCTCTGTGACCCATCTGCTTGAGAGGGCAGGGTCCTTCTGTGGAAGGCATGATGCTCAGGTAAGAAAACAGCTAAATCTGACTCAACAGTTCATCAGCCTCAGAACATAGAGGTATTATAGCAAGTTCATATTTAGGTCTGCCATTCAAACTGCAGCTCTCACCCATCTCATGGTCTCATGGAAGATCTCCTTGGGAAGTGCACTGGACATCTGAGTATAATGCCTCTTACAGAGTTCCTTATGCTTTATGGAAGAAGCTGGGATGAAGAACTTTCAACCTATGAAACATCTTTCAACCTTTCAATGTCTGAAACTTCCACTGTATGATCACATTTAAAAAATAAGAGCAAGAGTAATGTGCTGTAACTCAAATGAGAACTATTCTCAGAGGGAAAATATGTCTGCATCCATGAAGATGGAATGCCCTTCAGGCACCACATCCCAGGTAACACCTTTAATATAGTCATACTTGATCAAGTAACTGAAAGAACATGAACCTTGAGGACATGCATGAATACTGCTGACTTGTATGTCTTATACAGCAGATTATGATCTGCTAGCCTCAAAATGTTCAGTTCTTAGCAACCTCAACAAGCCTGCTATATCAGTTATAGACTGTCTTTCCTTCCTCAGTGTCTACTGGCTTTTTGGATCCTCAGAGCTTCCCTGACCCTTTGCTTTCTCCAACTCCCTCCACCTTCTATCTCATCACCTGACAATACAACCTCTGTGGAGCCCCCAAGAAGGGGAGGAGCACATCACTGACTCCCTATAATTTTCATTTCTAGATGGGAAGGATGAGATCTACATGCAGATCTATTTAAAGGGTTGTGTCTGTTTCAGAAATTGCAACTTTGTTCCTCGCTACAAAAAGAACACCAACGCATTACCCTGTAACCCACATCACACCTTACAATTGTACTCCACATCTAACTTGTCATCTATTGAAAAAAAGTGAAAAAAGAAACAACTTAAGAAAGTTTTATCATATTCTTCTTTCCCTTTTCTAGAATTTCTGAAATACTGTATATAAAAATAAATGCATCTACTTCTTTCATTATCTTTCCCAGGCACCTGCTCCCCAGTGATGACACTTCCTCTTTGGTTAGTCAGAAGGCATCCAGAATCTACAAAAGATGCCAGAAAAAATAATACAGAGCTATGAAAACTTATATAGACTACAGAATAGCTAATTTCTTAATTTCTTCTATTCAGAGGCATTGTCTGTTTCACATCACAGAAGGAACAAGAAGTTAATCTAAAAAAAAAAAAAGAAGTCACTGCAGAAAAAAGTCCCTACTTCTTAACTTAGTTTCTTGTTTCGGGTAAAAATCAAGCTGTGGAAATTCCAAATCTTATTTCTAAAAAAAGGAAAGTATGGATTTAGTGATGTGGGATCTAAAAGTGAAACTGTTTAATAACTTTTAAATCCACATACTTAGACTGCCAAGTACTGTACTGTAAATCAAACTTTGTTAGTTTGGGTAGCTGAACTTCCATTGTCTTCATAGGACATACATAAAAAAAAAGTTTCCCCTTTGAAACCTTCTCCTGTGTATCTCAAGAGCCAAACTCTAAGTCAAGCCTTGAAGTATTCAAAATCTCTTTGGGAATTTTGAAGTGAGAGCTCAGATCTGCTTTTATTTTG